CATTATCATCATCATTATGTTCTAGTGAAACTGAAAGAATGTCTCCAATATAAATTACATCAATTTCATCCTCATTAACTCATATGTTAAATCATCCTTTCATATGTCCTCTTGCTCTTAAAAAGTGTCACAATTACATTAGTTGCTGCTGCAATTGTAGTTGACTCTGAATGCTTTTTCAAAATTTGACGCATAGTCGGTAACAGTTGCTAAAAATTTTTCTATGCATCCTAGAAAGCTTTGAATAAAAATGTTTGTTAAGAGTCTTGCAACACATGATACTTACGTTAAAATTAAACCTCGAAGCAGTCAACGAAAAGCCGGTTTTTCAACTGTAGCCAAAGGACGCATCTCTTCAGTAATATAATCCGTAATTAAGTTGTCAGCTTCTTCTTGCAAAATAATACAACGTTGTGGTGAAAATTCTGATGCTACTAAATGGTACGTAATTTGTTTGAACTTCTTACTAGCAGGGCCTTCATCAGCCGTTTTTTCTACACCAGCCTTTCCTAGCTTACGTTTTCTTTGAAAATTTGCCTTATGTGCCTTATAGTCTCCACATTACATACACATAATAAGCATAATGCTGAAATTTTATTATTTTTTTTTCTGGCTACAATTTTGAAAAAGGTACCATCTACAATGGCTGGTAAAATTTCATTATTTTTATCAGTCATTTTGTTTTGCGGCTCACGGCAGCCATCTTTAAATTAAAATTGTTAATTCCCGCAAAATATCTTTATAATTACCCTAATGAAACCAAGGTAGATAAACCATGGTATATAAATAAAATAAGAAATATTTCAAAATAAATAGTGGCAGAATGACACTGTAACATAACATTTAGTTAAGTTGTTTGTGTGCGGTGTTGTGAATGTTTTAAGCAGTATTTGAATTACAGGTATTTTCAATTAGTACAAAACACAAAATACTAATCAAAAGTATTTTAAGTACAAATACTAAATACTTTCAACAAAAGTATTTAAAATACAAATATAAATACAAAGATAGCATTTAAAATAGTATTTTAAATACTTAGTATTTCAAATACTCCCAGCACTGCATATATGTTTATATTCATATTATGTATGCATAAAGCGCATCATGGAAGCATTTTATTCCTTCTGGAATAAAAGTTTAAAAGCTTTTATTCCTTCTCTTTGATTTTAAGTCAAGCCTCATTCTACTTCACATTTTTCATCTTATTGACCAGTTGCTTTATTAAACTTTAATATTTTTTTACATCTTTTTTACAAGAACATCTCTCTTAAGAACAAATGTCCTTTTATTATTTCAAGAAGCCAATGTAATAAGGTCCTGTCTGATGTTAAGCTCTGTTATTCTCAGTTTACTAAATCTTGTATCTTATCTCAGATGTTAGGTTCTACGGACTTTTGGTTAGACTTCATCGGTGTCATTAACTAAATCTAACATTTAATTTGGGCTTTATTTTTAATTGCTCAGAACAAGCAGCCAATTTTTAATCTGATCTCTCTTTTGTAACAGCCTAAAGCTTACAATGGCTATTGGATTTAAATTCTGGACTTAAAATTCACAATTTTTGTTATAAAACAGAACTCATTTATTTACTACAAGAAAATATTGCATTAATGTTGGCATTCCTATATTGATGAATAACAACCCTTTAACTCTCAGACAAAGCACATTGTAAATATAATTTACAATGACCTGCTTTATCTACCAAGCTTAAGCCACTCTCCCATTGTTTTAAGGTTGTGTTTCTTTATTTTTTCTACAATACAATCATGGTCAATGCTCAAATGAGCTATCTCTATTAAGATAGCTCATTTGAGCATTGACCAAAGCTAATTCTTATTTGGCTTTTTATTTAACAAGTTGCATCCTTATACTGTATCTGTCCCTTCATGCTATAAAAACTTTTATTAATCCAGATTTTTTTTTTGCATATCAAAAAAACATTATAACTCTTACCTATCTTTATGTTTTGCTTTTTATACAACCTACAACTTTTAAAGTCTTCAGTTGACCATTTTTTTTTAACTTATTTTTTATTTTTAACTTATTTTAACGTATTTTAACTTATTCTCTATTTAAAATATATTATAACTTAATAGTGGTTGCTTGCAATCTTGTTAGAAGTAAATTAGAGTTTAAAAATATATAAATGTATGCCAGTACTTAATAAACAGTAAATATAAGCATAAAATTATAACATATAAAGTATTAGAAAGTTTTTTTCTTGCCCCGCCTATCAACCCTTGGTAAATCTTGTAATTTTGCCGGAGCTGGGTTTGGAAAAAATCTCATTTTCAGCCGGAAACGAGGAAGGGGCCAGGGCCCCGGTCACTTAATGTATGCATATATATATGTGTGTATATGTATATATATATATATGTGTGTGAGCGTGTATATGAATATATATATATATATATATATATATATATATATATATATATATATATATATATATATATATATATATATATATATATATATATATATATATATGTTGATAATAAATCATGTTTCTTCAACTTAAGTTTTAAATAAAAATGCTAAGTTAAAACACATTTTAATTTGGAATTTGTGTAGTGTAAGTTAAAACTTAGCAAAACTCAGATTAAAAAACTATTACAGTTTTTAACAACTGGTTTCCATTTTCTATTTGACAGAAAACATTTGGATCAAACAGATGGTGTTGTAATGGTTTATCCTTTAGCACCTAGCTTGATTAATATTTTCATTGGATCTCATAAACAAACATGGGTTAATAACTGTCCCTCATCAAAACCAATTTTTTTATAAAAAGTATGTGGATGGCATAATTGCTATCTTTAAAAATAAAATTTATAATGGAAAAAGAACAAGAAAACCAGATTGTCTTTTTAGATGTACTTATAAAATCCAATTCCTTTTCGACATCAGTTTATCATAAAAAAACTTCCACAAGTCTGTTACAAAATTTTTTTAGTTTTGTTCTCTCTTGCAACAAATTTGGTCTTATATTTTGTTTAATTGACAGAGCATATAAAATTAATAATACTTGGCTGGAATTTGATAAAGACATTAAAAGACTTTTGAAATTTTTTTTTTTTCTTTTGTTTTAAAAAATAATCAATTTCTGCAAATTAAATCATATATCAATATAAATGAACCCATCTGTTTCTAATTTAGTTAAAAACTTAAATATAAGATACTTCAAGCTTCCATTCATTTATAATTATTCTAATTATACTAAAATGAAAATTAAAAAAATTGATAATAAATATTAAAAAGATGTTCTAATAAAATTAATATTTACTTCTAATAAAATAAAAAATAATTTTTGTACATACTTAAATCAACATAAAACTTCCCAAGCTACTTAAATCTTATGTTGTTTACAAATTTTCTTGTGCTGGCTATAATGCCAGTTATATTAGAGAAACTTCCAGACCTTTAACAACTAAAATTAATGACCAACTTTGGACTGACGAAAACATATACAAATATTTTAATTAGACACTTTTATTTATGCTCTACCAGAGTAAAGATTAAATTGTTTAAATCCTATTGCATTTGTTTATATGGTGCTCCTCTGTGACAAAATTATAATGATAAAATTATAATGTATTGCTACAACAAATGTGGTAAAATGTTTTTTGGCTACAACAAGTATGATAGTATATCTCTCATGCTTTTAGAGCACAGATTACCATCTTTTCATACAATTATCTCAAACTACAGACAAGCTTTTTGTAAACAACTGATGGCTTGTTCCTTAGTGAATAATTCTATGCGTTCACTTAATCAAAGTTTAAAATAATATTTTTCTTGTAAAAACTATGGATCTGGCACCTAAATTGTATCTGCCTGTTGTCTGAAATATATTTATAATAATAATAATAATAATAAAAATAATAATAATAATAATAATATATATATATATATATATATATATATATATATATACATGTATACATATATATGTGGGTGTATATACATTTATATATATATATATATATATATATATATATATATATATATATATATATATATATATATATATATATATATATATATATTTGCACATTTATTAGGTTTATACCTGGATCGAACTTCTCATAGTACCTCGGAAGAGAACTATGTTGCAATCTTTGAAAAAAAATAATTCCAAGTATCATGCCATAGATAATTCGAATAAAAGATGTAACAAGACCAATAAAAATATTGAAGTAAAAAAATAAAAAAGAAGCACCATGATAAACTCTCCTATAAATATTTAAAAATAATCCATTATTAAAAAAAGTTTTATAAAAAATATAACATATAAACTTTAATAAACAAATAAATTAATTTGTTATCATTAATTATATTAATCATGACTGAAAAAAAAAATTAATAAGTAAAATCAACAACCTGTTGTTAATAGCAACAACGTTTTTGTTTATTATAAAAACAAATCTTGCAAGAAGTTTTTGAATGATCATAACAACAATACCAACAAGAATTGTTTGCCTTTAAATAAAATAAAGAGTTGAAATAATGTATCAAAAAAGCATTAATACAAGTAAAAAAAAAAGTTCTTTATAAAAAAATAAACAAAAAAAAAAACAAGAAATAGTTTACAATTATATTTGTATAATTGAATGTTAAACATTGTTATACAAATATTTTTTTTAAAACTTTATTAATCATTTTTTATTTAAAATAACTCTTAAACTTAAACACTTTTTTCTTTTGATTTATGAAATTTTGACTTTTATAACAAAAGTTATTCAACAAATTATAAATGACATCACTTGATTAAACACATTTTTTATATGCTTAATTTTTGAAAACATAAATTTGCACTAGATTCTAATTATATAGACTCTCTTGGGAGTTGTGATCAAATTGGTCATTTTAAGTTTAGTCTTGAAAAATATAGGAAAATATCCTTATTTCAGTTGCTTCTCTATGGTTTATAAATCACTTAAGCTGTAAATATTTTCACTTTTTTAAACTTGGTAATTTCAAAGATATCAAACCAAAAAACATTTAAAGTACATGCTCAATAAACATTCTTAGTTTGGGATAAAATTATAGTTTCTTTTAGACAGCAAAAAAAAATATTTGAACTCATTTAAAGTTCATAAGGAAGAAATAAACTCAGATAAAAAACTATTTACATGGTTTGATTTTTTGCTTATTTTTTTGTCATTTGTGCCATCATGGTTTGAAAGTGGATAGAGATTCCAGCCAAAACAAAGAACAGCACGAAAAATAAATATAGCATTGAGTATTGAGAAATAAATATAGCATTGAGTGTGTCCTTACTCACTCCTCATTGGAACATGCAAACATGCAAATAAGAGTTGAAAATTGAAATGTCCTGGCTGTTCCTGAACTCGCAAAAATCAGAAAATTCCCAAAAATCACATGATTAAAAAATAAAACAATTTAATTTTACAAAAAAGTTTACAAACTATAATTATATTATCATGAAAAATCTAATTAAAATATTAGGAAATAGATTTTAACTTGATTTTTATTTGAAAATAAAATAAAAGAATTTTGAATAATAATTTTACTAATTTTAATTGAATATTGTAAACTTAGAGAATACTCCTCAAAACATAATGAAAAAACTAGGCCAACAGATATATTATAACTTAAGCTTATACATGCTATGTGCTATAAATAATTAATTCTTATACTAAAATTAATATTTTTAAAACATCTTTGCTTCCAACAAGGCTGCAAGCAACCACGAACTAGTGTTGGAAGTTACTAAAAGAGAAAAGATGAAGATTGTAGAGTAAGATAACGATTGACAGATGACTTAAAAGATTGCAAATTATATGAATCAGGAAAGCAAGATGAAAGAAGCGAATTTTAAAAAACTGAGGTTCAAGGAAAAAAACTAGAGGAATAAGAGTTTTTGGAGCACTACTTGACATGACAAGTAACACGAGAATGAATTTTACACTAGCAATTTAGAGCAGTGCCCATTATAGTTTTTGTAGAAAAGAGAAAGAGAAGCAACATTACAACGATAGGATAATAGTTGAAGGTTGGCTGCAAGATCAGGTACAACTATGTTTACAATGCGTTTTTGCACATTGTCTAAAAGAGAAAGGGCATCATTAGAAGATCAGCCCCAGATATGGCAACAGTATTCCATACAAGGCTGGATTTGAGATTTATAGAGATAGAGAATATAATATTGATGAGTAAAAGACTCATCAAGTACATTACCGTTCATAAATATAGGAAGGTCTAAATTATTGCAATAACAATTGGCTGAAAAAAAAAGAGTTTTATCTGAATTAAAGTTCACCATCCACTGTAAGCCTCATGTGGTAGCAGAAATGAGATCCTTTTCAAGCTCAAATGCCCCCTCCAAGCAATCAGAGAGAGTTGGCTTTTTATCATGACAAGAATAAATGGTAGTATCATTAGCAAACAATCCCACCTTAGATATGAGAATATCTGGAAGATTGTTAATGTAAATTAAAAAGAGTATAGGGCCAAGGATTGAACCTTGAGGAACCCCTGAGGTTACAGAATAAGAAGAAGAGTGCTGTCCATCAAGGACAACTTTTATACTACGATTGGAAAGAAAGAATTCAATAATCTTAAAAATGTTTCCAGATACGCTGTAAGAAAAAAACTTATGGAGAAGACCAGCATGCCAAACTTTATCAAATGCTTTAGAAATGTCAAGAGGGATGGCCTTAACCTCTCCACCTTTATCTAATACATCTGTTACCCCTATTTTAAAAATTTTTAAAAATAGAGATAACAGATGCTGCTTTCCAGCAGACTTAAAAACAAGACTCTGATAATCACTTGTTAAATAGTTTTGAAAGGATAAACGACAGCTCCTGAGATCACTTCTGCAAGACTATAACAGGTATGTTGTCTGGGCCGCAAGCTGTAGAAGAGTCTAAGCAGGAAATCACTTTAGATACAGAAGCTGGAGTGATACGAATGTCAAGCAATGGATCAACCTGTTTGATCGCTATATCAGGTAGAACGCAACTAATGGAATCAAGAGATGATATTGATGAAAAGTTCTAAGCAAATAATTCAGCTTTGTCTTTAGATTAGGTTGCAAAGTCTGAACCATACAAAAGAGGTGGAATTACAGATTTGCCCTTATTATTGACACTATTAAAGATTCTCCAGAGATCAAGAGAGCCTAATTTTTGTGATGAAGTACGAGATATCATGACCTGAGAATAGCGGACTTTGGTGTTAGACAAAATCTTTTTACAATGGTTAATTTAATAATAACTTAATTTAGCAATAATAAACAGATGTCTAATTTCTGGAAAATTGTTTTGCTGATAGATATGGAAGTAATGGTTTCATTTGGCAATTACAGCAGCACAATTAGGAAAACCATGGAGAAGAGTGAGGCTTGACCTGGAATCGTTGAGAGAAGATAAAAGATTCCCTGCCAGCCTGATCCATGAAGTTATATAAGAAGCAGTTTTGTCAACTGGAAAACAAAAGATTTCTACCCAAGGACCATCACAAAGAAAATCACGGAACGAGTCCCAGTTAGCTTTAAGGTAGTTGTAAGATGTACAATGATAGGGGGATTCTGATGATAAAAAATGATAAAAAAATGATAAAAAATGAGATAATAGTTTTAGAGAGATCAAACTGTAATCAAAGGCACCTAAAGGTGTATGTAGAGAAACTGAGCACTGACTAGAATCAGAAACAAGACATAAGTCGACTAGAGAAGATAAATGATTCGGGTTGTCTGAAAAGCGAGTTGGAAAGTCGACTATTTGAGTTAGGGATTGAGAAAGGCAAAGGTTGTGGGCTTTAATGCCTGCAGAGTCACTGACACTGGAGCCAAGCCATTCTTTGTGATGAACATTAAAGTCACTGAAAACAACAATATTGTTTCCCAACAAACGGGTGAATTCTTATGAATGTAAACAGCCAGGCCAAGCATGTGACTATTGGAGTCTTTACAAATGAAACAAAGATAACCATCAACTCTAAGATCACAAGATGAGACAGCTGAACTCAAATTAGTCTCACAAAGAGCAAGTAGGTCTGGTGAACTTTGCAAGATATAAGACTCAACAGAAGAAAAGTTACTTTGAAGACCACGAATATTAGTGAATGATAGGTTTAGCGAATTTGGTGATGACAGTGGTTTTTTGTATTTTATAGTTTTTGTTATTTTATTTATTTCTAAATTTGTTAAAGAACTTGACTTGAAACATAGATAGTACTCAGTATACTGTTTAATAGCCCAAGCAATTGCCTCATTACTATTAATAAACCCTAAGCCATAACAAAGGCCTAAGCAATGCACACCAAAAGTACAGAAACACTATTCATGCGCAACATGGCACTGTAAGTACTTTGATATTTTACAGCTGTTGATGGAGTCAGCCTCTCTGAGAGCTACAACAGAGTTTGGGAAACCTGACTACCAGCCGGCCTCAGAACCATAAAACTGAGTTTTAGAGCTGTACCCTCATTAGGAGATAATGGAATGAGTTGCCTAGTCATAAAAACAGAGACACAAGCAAAACCCATGCATTGAGTCAAGAAGATCCAGCATTCAACATCCTAAACTGGAAACAATGTATTAAAAATACATCTGCACCAGCCTAATAGATGAAGAAGAGGTGTGAGGCTGGTCAACAGATAGTATCTGTTTACCCCTTAAGTTTTTGCCTAGGAGGCCTTCTACAAGACAGCAACCGGATGCATTTAACATCTGCCCAAGATGAGTATTTCTATCAAGACACCATCTCTGGCCTTTACTCAACCAAGAGCCCCAAGGGGGTGTTTTATGACGGAGTTGGCATCTCCTAGCCTTTGCTTAAAAAGGCATATCCTACAAGGTAGCAGGACATGAAGCAGATTGTACTGGATTAAATGTTACCAGTAGCAGGATATCCTGACCTGACAATGGTCAGGCTATCCTGCATAAGTTACCAAAATGTAATTTATCCTGCTTAAGATACCAAAATGTAATTTGTTTATTTGGCTTAAAATATTAAAGCCCAGCTTTATTTATCAGTCCAACCCAGTATTATATAAAAGGCTAGTTCAGCTTTTTATTTGTAAAAATATGCATTATGGTTTGCGTTGCATCCATTTTTAACAAAAAAAATTCTTTATAAGAAGAAAACTACATAACTACTTAAAAAAAAAGTATTTCCAGAGGATAATTGAAAGATCAACTTATGCTTACCACATATAAGAAGTAGAACTACATAGTTACTTGTAAAAAACTATTTCTAGTTCTAAGTAAAAGATCAAATAATGCTTACCATACATTAGGTAAATATTTATTTGACCCTTAAATAATAATATTTAATTAAAAAATAAATATTTATTAAATGCTTACCATATAATAGGTAAATATTTCATAATAACTGAAAACCTTTTAAAGATTATATTATTAATTTCAATGCTTAATGCAAACATGACAATGAAAAAGATGCCAAAGATAATAAAGCAACCTTAAAAAAAGTTCATTAGTTCAGTACCTGAAGCTTTAAATAACTCATTATAACAATTTAAAAAAAAAGTTATATATTTATCTTTTCATTTTAACAATCAATTAAATTAAATTTTTATTTTAAAACAGAAATCTTAATATATAGGTATAAACTATGAAAGGGTTAGATAAACAAAATAAAATAAAAAAATAAAAAATAAATATACTAAATTATAGATTTAACATATCTTCAGTCCTTGGAAATAGGGTCAGCATTCAGCAATGCCTAGAGGTATTTCAGGTCAGCAAAAAATCACCGACCTTGTTTCTATGTTTTATGGTAAAACCTTTGTATTAAGTTTTTTATTCCAGCTTGCCAACCTCAAGCAGATTAAGGTTGGCAAATTATTGTTGAACTCATTTTTCTTAATTTCAAGGGCTGTATCTTATATAATTATAATACTACATATGATAAAAATGTATCATATATAACATATATAAATGTAACATATATAACATGTATAAAAAGAAAACAAAAAACAAAAAAATTTACTTGAATTTAAATTATGTCAATAGTAATTGTTATATTGAATTACTTTTTTATTATTTGGCAATGCTTAAATATATATATATACATATATATATAATATATATATATATATATATATATATATATATATATATATATATATATATATATATATATATATATATATATATATATATATATATATATGTGTATATATATATATATATATATATATATATATATATATATATATATATATATATATATATATATATATATATATATATATATATATTAGGGATGCACCGAACGTTCAGTTTGGCCAAACGTTGACAAATGTTTGTCAACGTTTGGCCAAACATTTGTCAAGTGATAATTGATTGTAAATTGAAAAATCAGTTTAAGTGTAAAATGAAAAATCCTTTCAATTGAGCATTATTTTAGTTAATTTTATCCTTTTATATACAATATTAATAATAATTAAACTTAACTTAAGTTGTAAAATTCATGCAAGAAGCAAATTTTTTATTTTGGAAAAATCACAAAAATGTAACAGTATAAAATAAACTTAAAACAACAGATAGAAACGTCCATTTTAAGTGGCACCAATTGCTGCTGAGTTAAAAAAAAAAATCTTTACAAAGAAAGTAGCTCGTAATTTGGTTACTCAACTAGTTGAATTGAGAAAATTAATTGAAAGGAATAAACTTAGGGAAAAATGTTATTGTGGTGATCAAAAACATAAAAATGCTCCGATTTATTATGTTGTTATTACTATATAACTATATAACATATAATATTATGTTATTTTTATATAACTAAACATGCAGTAGTATTAACACTAGACAAATCAACAATTTTAAACTTTCACCTAACAAAATAATCGATTATTGAAAAAATAAAACATTAAAAACATGAGTGAAAATCAATTATCATTGGTTGTCCAAGTTATAATCAATAAACACTAATTTTTTGTCACATTCTGGTCTGTTTTTATTGGGTTCGTAAATGTTGCCACCTGTATTAAAAAATCTTTCACTTTCAACAGAATATGGTGGTGTTGAAAGAAACTTTTGGGTAATTTTCTTTAAATTTTTAAAAGAGTTTCCACAATTTTTCCACCACAAGAAAGGACTTTTTTTTTCTGTGACAAGAGGTAGCTTTAAATACTCTTCAATCTTCTTGTTTATCATTTGTATACTAGAATTTGATCTTTTAAACCTTTTGCTATTTTCAGTATTTACAAAATTGGAATCACATTCATCTATAGTTGTCAGTTTAGAAACTTTCTGAAAACATTCATTGAATTTTGGATAAGCTGGTTTTGCAATTACTTCATTTGTGTTATGTACTGAAGGTTCGTCAAAATCAGAATCAGAGGATTCAAGTTCTAAAATACTTTGTTGCATTTCTTGCATCTGTTCATTTATCCAAATTTTTATTTTATCCTTGTCTTCCTTTTGATATGTCAATTTATATCTAGGGTCACAAAGAGTGGAAAGGCATAAATACTTATCATGTAAATATGGACCCAATCTTTTGTCTACTGACACTTAACTGTTCAACTAAAGCATTTATTGTTAAAAAAGCCTCATATACTAATTAACTACTTAATAATTGAAGGAACAACATCTGAAAAATATGACTCACATTTATTGAAATTAATGGTTAAAGTTTTAAATGGTTCTAAAATATGCAACACTTTATCTAATAAACCCCATTGAAATGAATTTAGTGTTGATAGGGTAGGATGATCAGCTGTATAAATTGCCAGAGGAACTCTTTGATCAAGCATCCTTTTAATCATATCATAAGAACTGTTCCATCTTGTAGTAATATCTTGGATTAACCTGTGCTTGTTTGTACCAAGTTGTTCCTGAATTGCTTCTAATTTTGCTGCTGCTGTTGGTGAATGGTGAAAATGAGTTGCTGGACGTCTGCAACAAGCTAAAATATCCTTAAAAAATTTTTGCGACAAAATTGAGTCATGTACATAACTGTATTGTATGTATAAAATATGGCATTGACCTAAAACCACTGTCTCTTACACCAGCTACCATATTGGCGGCATTATCTCGTAAAACAATATGAATTTTTGTGTGTGGAATTTCAAAACTTACTAAACCTTTATGTAAATACTCACTTATGTTTTTTCCTGTGTGACTTTCTGGAAAATACATAACTCTAAGTACTGCTCTATGCTGGGAAAATTTATTACCGAGCCAGTGTGCTTTCATGCTTATGAAGGCAACATTTGAACTATTTGCTGTCCAAATGTTAGTTGTAAGAGAGATATGAATGGCAGCAGATTTATTACTCTTGATAGAACTAAATAGTTTATTATATATTTGTGGAATAATAATTTCACTAAAATATCTCCTAGTAGGTATTTGATAACTAAGCTCTTCAATTAATTTTCTAAAACCAAGATCTTCTACAATCAAATATTGTTGAATGTTCAACGCCATTATTTCTCCAATGTGATTGTGAATTTTGATAGCTCTTTGATCATTTACATTCCACAGCTTTTTTTTTTTAAGACTCTCCAGTAATGTTAATTGTTTTTTTAATTCAGAATCACTTGATGTAGAGGCTGTAGTTGATGTAGATGTTTTTTTTTTGTAAGACTCTTTTTCAGCTATTTTATTTTCTGCAAAGTGCTTGTTTTTTAAATGACGTCTAATTGCACTAGTGGTGAATGTTTTAGGACAATTCCCACCTCTAGAAAGTAATGCTTTGCATAGTAGGCAAATACAAAAATGATTATCTTTCTTTGAAACTTCAAAATATTTCCAAACAGTCCTTTTAAATTTTATTTTTGAAGACATTTTTTTATGCTTCTAAATAATTAAAAATATATACTAATTATAAATAAAGTTTAACCAAATAATATAATCTTAATACATGCCAGATACTAGGTTTTAATATCTTATGTTATAACTTTATTTTTATTAGCTAACTTCTATATTTGTAGAATAGAGTATAAACTAAGGTTAAATGTTATAACATATAAGCTAATATATATATATATATATATATATATATATATATATATATATATATATATATATATATATATATATATATATATATATATATATATATATATATATATATATACATATATATATATATATAAATGGGCAAATCCGCGAGTGGCAGATTTTAAAACCATGCTATGGCATAATAAATTGATTTTTCTTTAATATTTTTTTGCTTAAAAGTATTTTAAAATAGTTAAAAAAAAAAGTTTTGGAGTTTAGTATGTGTTTTCACAACTTTTTTGCTTTTTTTTTTCCTCTTTCTCGCAGAATTGCCCATTTGTTAAATATGATTCCTGATCTATTGCTAATATTTTCTTAGAAACCCTTGATACAGTAAAATTTTGCAAGATGGCTCCTAAGGAAATTATTTTCTCAGAGGAGATTACAAAAAGCTATTGAAGCTGACTCATACATACTTCTGTTCTGAAAGAGTTTTTCAAAACCAGGGTTTGTGTCTATGTGCCAGACTATCTTTACCAGACCATTTAGTATCTTATATCTATTATCTTAAGATTCAAATATTGAGCTTGCAACTTTTTTATGAACTAAAAGATAAAAGAAAGACTTCAATTGAAAGTTAGAAAAATATTATAAGGTTTTAAAGTTTTCTGTTTTTAAAGCTTCTAAATTGTTTAAAAGACTATAATTACATAGTCAGAAACTTCAAAATTTACCTTTAGTTCTAATGCAGATAAAGATATATTTAAATCAGGAATATGGCATCACTCAATTTTTTTTTTAAATAGGTTAAAATAAGATGAACTTACTCTCTCTCTTTCTCTCTTTTTTTCTTATACATGTATACATATATATATATATATATATATATATATATATATATATATATATATATATATATATATATATATATATATATATATATATATATATATATATATATCTACTATAGCATATTTATATGCGCAATTGCTCACTTTTTTTGCTAGCCTAATTTAAGTGAGCGTTTTTAGAAAACGATGAAGGAAAACAAAGAATAATGAAAGAAAAGGTTGCTGACCCATACCAAACCCTCAGTCGATGTAGCAGCACTCCACGGCGAGTCAGGCTATTTGTCAGTCTAGATATGTACTGAAGCCCCCGGCAGCAGGCTATTTGACATTAGGTGAATATGACATCATCATGCTCACCTAACTCAGCAGCATAAGATATATGTGTGTATATATATATATATATATATATATATATATATATATATATATATATATATATATATATATATATATATATATATATATATGTGTATATATATATATATATATATTTATATATATATATACATATATATATATATTTATATATATATATATATATATATATATATATATATATATATATATATATATATATATATATATTATATATATATATATATATATATATATATATATATATATATATATATATATATATATATAAATGAAATAAAAA